AGAGAGAGAGAGAGAGAGGTATATATATATCATCAGGAGTTAATAAAGACAAATTATGAGACAATAATGACAAAATAATTATATGACAAATTATACAAATAATGACAAATAAAGACAAATTAGACAAATTTATCTTTATTAACTCCTGATATATATATACATATATATATACATATGTGAGGCGGGCGGGTGCGTGCCTGCCTGGGTGCGTGCGTTCGTTCGTGTCTGTGTATATATGTGTTTATATGTGTGAAAAGTGCGTGCGGTGAGTCACTATAAGCCGGTGGTACTTTCCCTGCTAGACACTAGGGACTAGACAGAAGATGACTTCATTCCTCTCTCTCTCTTTCTCTCTCTCTCTCTCTCTCTCTCTACTCATCTCTCGCCGCCTCTCTCTCTCTCTCTCTCGCGCTTCTCGCTCTCATCCTCTCTCTCTCTCTCCCCATCCTCTCTCATCCCCTCTCTCCTCCTCACCTCCTCTCTATCCATTTCTCTCTTGCCTCTCTCTCTTCTCTCCTCTCTCTCTCTCATCTTTCTCTCTCTCTCTCTCTCACTCATGCTCTCTACTGCTTCTCCTCTCTCTCCGCTCTCTCTTATCTCTCTCTCTCCGCTCTCTCCTCCTCCCTCTCTTTCTCTGCGCACCTCGCGCCTGCAGATCAACACCGTTTAATCTGTAATCACTCACCGTTCATGACCCTGCCAATTATATATATATAATATACTATACTATATAACTACTATATACTCATAACATATATATTGTACTAAACAACTATATTATTATAATATTATATATACTACTAGTATATATACCATCAGGCAGTACCATGATGGGATTCCACGAGCATATAATTTATACAGAAGTATGCTCCAAGACTCCCCTGCTGATGCTCCAAGCACTCAGGATCGACTCACGACCTCCTCCTTCCCCCTTCCCCCCGACCCCAGCTCTCCCTACATCCCTTCACCACCGCCTCTTTCGGCATCAGCCTCAGCTGCCCCTACATCCCCCTCGCCCCCAGCCTCCCATTCTCTCCCCATCCCTACCCCCGCAAATCTCTCCCCTCCTCCCTCTCGCCTCTCCCCTCACTCCCTCTCCACACGCCTCTCTTCGCATCGACCTCTGCCTCCCCCCTCCCCTATGCCCAGGCCTCCCATTCCCTCCCCCACTCCTACCCAGCCTCCATCTTCCCCCTCCTCCCTCCTCTCCCCTCATCCCTTCCACCACCGCCTCTCTTCGCATCGCCTCGCGTCCCCTCCCTTCATCCCCAGCCTCCCCATCCCCTTCCCCACTCCTACCCCAGCCTCCCTACCCCTCCTCCCTCCCTCCTCCCCTCATCCCTTCCACCACCGCCTCTCTTCACATCGCCTCCCTCCCCCTTCTCCCTTTCACCTTCCTCTAGTCTCGTGCACGCACTAAGGTACTAATGCAAGACTAATGCAAGTGGTTTCGTTGTTTTCTTTTGGCAGAATTCAGTTCGACACAACCTCTCGCTACACAGCAAGTTCATACGAGTTCAGAATGAATCGACGGGCAAGAGTTCATGGTAGGTGTGCGCTCTTAGTGCTCTCACAAGTCATGTCTGCCCCCTCTCTCTCCCACTCTCTCTCTCTCTCTCTCTCTCCCACTCTCTCTCTTTCTCTCTCTCTTTCTCTCAGTCCCCACTCTCTCTCTCTCTCTCTCTCTCTCTCTCTCTCTGCCTGCTCTCTGTCTCTCATGTCTCTACTCTTTCGCCTCTCTCTCTCTCTCTCTCTCTCTCTCTCTCTCTCTCTCTCTCTCTCTCTCTCTCTCTCTCTCTCGCTCATCCCCCTTCTCTCTCTATCTCTCTCCCTCCCTCTTCTTCCGCTCTCTCCCGCCTCCCCCCTCTCTCTCTCTCTCTTTTCTCTCTCCTCTCCCTCCTCCCCCTCCCCTCTCTCTCTCATACACTAACATCTCTGTCCATCACAGGTGGATGATCAACCCGGACGTGCAGGTAGGCAAGAACACGCGCCGCCGCGCCGGATCCATGGACACTCAGAAGTACGAGAAGAAGCGAAACCGGGTCAAGAAGAAGATGGAACTCCTCCAGGGCCTCGCCGCCGCCGTCGTTGGCGCCACCATCTCGCCGACGTCGTCGGAGCCCGGCGTCGCGGCGGCGGCGGCGGTCGATTCGCCGCTGCACCAGTTCTCGCAGTTTCGCCAGCGCACGAGTTCGAACGCGAGCAGCTGCGGGAGACTGTCGCCGATACCTGCTGCTGACCTCACCCTGGACGACGGGCAGGTATGTGAGGGGGCGGCGAGGGAGGAGGGTGGAGGGAGGAGGGAGGAGGGTGGAGGGAGGAGGGTGGAGGGAGGAGGGAGGAGGGTGGAGGGAGGAGGGAGGAGGAGTGGAGGAGGTAGAGGAGG